AAGAATACATAGCATACACACATTTATTCAAAGCATGTGAATAGTCTGGTTGTTATAGATTTCATTGCATGTAATTTCATGCAATTTGAGCTTTAACAATTAGTTACCTTTATTGACATCCCATAATATAGCTGTGTTGTCAACTGAGGCAGATGCCATATAATTTCCATCAGGAGTCCAGCAAATATCGTATACATCTTCCAGGTGACCTCTTAAAAGAAGCATAATAAAAAGAAACTGATAAAAAGGAAGTAAGTTATTAACGGGATGATGCTGGTAAATATTCTACCTAACTATTAAAATAGAGCTCAAGTACACAAGTAAGCCAGTCTTATATTGTTACAATTTTGTCATAATTAGCAACTTGGCTCAAGATACTATTTTATTCAGTGAAATTTCAATAAAAGCCAAGAAAGCTACCTTAAAGTTTTGATTACTGTCCAGTTTTCTTTGTTCAGCTGGTTATCATCCTCATCATCTTGAAATGCAACTGCTTCTAACTCCTTGTTGTCATTCAACTTCCATAATAAAATTGCAGCATCTGTGAACATTAATTTGTCTGAAAAATCTTTGGCAATTTCCCAACTATTATTTTATTATGATGTAGTATTACAAAATTTTATTTTGTTCCTTCAGGTCAGATTTTTACTCCTAGCAACTACCTGGACAAATCTTCAAAGTTTTCTTGGCAAGGATTTCTGGAAGCAGTTTACCATTGCCTCCTTCCTAGGACTGAGAATGACTGGCCTAAAGTCACCTTTGTGCCTAAGGCAGGACTAGAACTCATGTCTCCTGATTTCTAGCCTGATGCCTTAACCACAATAGTGGTTTATGAGGCTAGCCCAGGGGTAGGCAACCTCGGCTCTTTTATGACTCGTGGACTTCAACTCCCAGAATTCCTGAGCCAGGAATTCTGGCTCAGTTGAAGTCCACGAGTCATAAAAGAGCCGAGGTTGCCTACCCCTGGGCTAGCCACTACAGAATTAGAGTTAGGCATAGATAGAATTGCGGTCTATCTGGAATAAAACCTGTTGAATTTAATGGAACTTATTTCTGTGTAATATACAGTTCATGATTGAACTAAGCCAGGGCTTTTCAACCTTTTCACCCATTGTACCACTTTTAGGATATGGCAACATCCGAGGACCACCAGTCGCCTAGCAAGGTGTCAAAAACTTGATGACCAAAAAAAAAAAAAAGGAAAAAAGGAAAAAAGTGATAAAGTACTGGTAGTCCTCGACTTACAACAGTTCGCTTAGTGACTGTTTGAAGTTACAATGGCACTGAAAAAGTGCCCCCCAAGCCACAGCCGAGCAAGACAGCGCCCTGCTGGAGCCTGGCACTGATCCTGGCACTTCCACTGAGCCCTGACAGCCCCAAAGAAGCGCCAATCAGGTGGAAAGTGGCACTGATCCTGGCGCTTCCACTGAGCCCTGACAGCCCTGCAGCTCCAGCCATCTCTTGCTCAGGCTTGTGCGGTGCTGCCACCGGTTCAGCTCATTCCCCTCCCCCGCTACCACTTTTCTAGAATGGTCACGTACCACCTGCCAGGTGCCAATGTACCACAGGTGGTACCCGTACCACTGGTTGAAAAGACCTGAGCTAAGCAATACAATATATATCCCTCATCACTGAGTACTAAAACTCAGTGTAAAATTGGGATTTCTTTAGTTGTTTCTGGCCTTTTGTTTAAATTTGTCATCTGTAACACTCAGTTTATTTTCTCCTTGTTACACCAATGTACTATATGACTGCAGTAGAAAATTGTTTCCACAGCTCAATACAACAATTATGAAATACAGGAAAAAATTACATGTCAATTAAGAATAAGATTAGTACATTAGTAATTTAAGATATAGACCAGCGGTTCTCAACCTATGGGTCGCGACCCCATTTGGGGTNGCGCAGGGGGCGGAACCACGCATGCGCGGCGCTCCCGGGCAGGGAAAGTCCTCGACTTACGACCGGTTGGGTAGTCCTCGACTTACGACCGGTTTAGTCCTCGACTTACAACCGGTTTAGTCCTCGACTTACGACCGGTTGGGGGTCGCGGCATTAAAAAGGTTGAGAACCACTGATATAGACAGTATTACTACTATTGCAATTCCATTTCTCTAAATAACCTGATAACTTTATATTATTTTTAATGTTTAAAGAAAAGTATAATTGTCTTTTATAAGATTCTCAGATTGAAAAATAACCGTAACTGCCTTACAAGAAAAGCTATTGAGCTATTCCTTTATAAAGGTAAAAGCTTCCCCTGTCCAGTCGTTTCCGACTCTAGGGGGCCGTGCTTATCTCCATTTCTTAGGGAGGAAGCTAGTGTTGTCTGAAGATATTTTCCATAGTCATATGGCCAGCATGATTATACGCCGAGGTGCCCAGAACCTTCCAACCAATGTGGTACCTATTTATCTACTTGCATTTGCATGCTTTTGAACTGCTAGGTGAGCAGGAGTTGGGGCGAGCAAAGGGAGTTCATCCTATTGCACGGTGCTCAGGTCTCAAACCTGGACTATCAGCTTTCTGACAAACCTAAAGTCCTTAACTCATTCCTTTATAAATGGGAATAAATACAGTATATAAAATAAACACACCTATTTTCTTACTAAATGTTAAGAAATTTAAAATCAATATTTCAATGCCAACTTTACACATACCATCACCACCAGAAGCCAGAATTTCACCACTGGGAGCAAAACGTACGACATTCACTGCTTTGGTATGACGAGCTAAATTGGACAAGAATTCCACAATTGCTTTCCCATCTGGTCCTTTTTCTACTTTCCATATCTGGTTATAAAAACACAACATCCAAAGCAAAAATATCAGAATAACTAAAAAAAATGAAAATTCCCAAAAAAATCCTAATGATAACACAGTTTGAAAGTAGTACGTTATATATAAAATGTTATGATAAAACATTTTAACATTTTCACAATCAATTTGAATATATGTACAGAAATAAAATATTTGCTGTTCTATGAGCAAACTTCTAAATCTTTAGGGATATATACATAAAACTTTCCAGTTCCATAAATTAAAGTTTTCATATTGCAAGAGAACATGCAAAAATGTAGCAATATCATCGACATTTAACTCACACGAACAGTTGTATCTACGCCAGCTGAAGCCAGTCTATTGATTTTACCATCAGTTCCATGCTGGAAATCTAAGCTGTACACTGGCTCTTTGTTGTGCCATGCAATTTCACATGTAATTACTTTCATTCTGTAAAAAGTAGATAAAAAGTTTGAAGATAATTTTATTTTGATGGAAATTAGTATTGCCCAATGCATGGCTATCATTGTGGTCCTGTATATTTATGGTTTTAAACTTAAACATAAAACAGACCTACCATTCTGAAAAATACTAACCTAAACAATGGAAAACATATCAAAGAATTATGCCCTATGGCTTGTTATGTTATCTTACAAATATCACACAAATTAGCATTGTTGTAATTTATAGTATGTCAGTTGGATATTCTAGGCCTGTTCAAATGGCTGATAGACAGCTAATCATTTTTCCCTTTTTTCTTAGTTTCACCATATTCTACAACTTATAAATTTATAGAATAAAAATGCAAAGGTTTAAAAAGCCCAGTGTATGTAGTGATAGTGTTACAACCCTAGGGATTCTATGACAAGTAAAAGGAATGCTCTCATTTCTCACATATTGGTCTTTTCTCAATAGAACCATTCCATTATGGTTCTTTTGCTAAGGATTAAGATTCCTCAAAAGGAGAACAATGACAATGAAGCCATAAGATGAAAATTAAATTGTATATAATTAAAGCATACACATGAATATATTGTTAAAACAAAAGATGGCAACTCTGATTTCTCTTCAAATTGAATAAATCCTTCAGCTTTTACTAAGAAAAGCAAAAGTAGGACTGCTGAAACTTCAAGGAGACATAAGCCACAAGAAGACTAGAGCAAAGCTGGGTTTGCAAAAAATAACACTTTAAATTCTGTTCTTTCAGAAATGTTCAAAGCATTTAACTTACATTATCTGAACTTCTCTAAGGCACACAAGGGTTATGGTTGCAATACAAACAATGAAAGATGAGACACAGCAGCTTGTACAGACATCCATCCTCCTATCCATCTTCCCACCTCCGTTCATGACTGAGGCTGGTTATTATTCTCCTCGTTCATGGAATTTTAGACTTGGAAGCAGGGGGAAAGGATCCCAAACTCACACAAATAAAATGCTCTTCCATTTGTTTATAAACGCTTCTTGGAGTCAAGATCTGGATCCACGTTTATTGAGGATGCTATATTCTTAGCTAAATTAGCAAGCTCTTCACTCATTCATTTCTCTATTTTAAAACCCTTCCTTTAATCCTGGAGCCAAGTGCTACTTGTGTATCAACATATTACCTTGTTTTTTGATAAGTAACGAGGAGGAGGAGCGACCGTCTGAATCCAGAGAACTACTTTCTTGCACCATGTGCTGGGAAGGGACTCTTATTTAATCTAAAATAAACCTCCCCCATCTTAACCCTCGGCGAGTAGCCCAGCGCACCCACTTTTGTCCCGAAAAAAGGAAAACTTCCCCCGAACCTACCGACCCAGCACAATTTAGGGACGCAACCCTTTGTGACAGTTTCCGTATAAGAGTTTCCCTCCTACTGTGCCCGAGCCGCTTTCCCGCCCCTTCTCCGCACAAGCGAGAGATCCGTTCTTTCGTGCTCCCGACCCGGATTTTTGCTTTCGGGTCTGCCAGTTTCTTACCCCCCCACCCCGTAATACCTGCAGAAAGAATCAGCACAGAGGTCCAGTTGCCCCTCGAAACTAATTCAACTTCCCGCGCTCGCGTCTGCGCGTTGGAGTCATTGGGCGTCCAGAAGGAGGAGCAGGGCGCTCGGAGGCTTTCCTAGTTAGGGTGTCGAAAAACGCCACCTAGCGTCCGGGACGCGCCGCGCTTCGTCTCGCTAGCGCAGTGTTTCTCAACCTTGACAATTTTAAGGCATGTGGACTTCAACTCCCAGAATTCCACAGCCAGCAATGCTGGCTGTGGAATTCTGGGAGTTGAAGTCCACATGCCTTAAAATTGTCAAGGTTGAGAAACACTGCGCTAGGCTTTACTAGGCTTCCCCTGTCTGCAAGGGTAGCGTAGTTAAATCTATTGCAGCAGAATTTACAGGGTTGTGCGCTCCACTACATAATTGATGCCTAACCATTTAAAATGTATATATATATATATATCAATCACGGTAAACTTCTCTCATCTCTGCCTAATTTCCTGCAGAGCTTCGAGCACTATTTACCAAACTGTCAGAGGAAACTGGGTATCCAACAGCGGGATTTCCATTTTGACAAAACTTTTCATGTCACCCATTCAAATTATATAGTCCTTTGTGTTCTGCTGCATCAGATTCACTACCATAAGTTATAGTTTCAGACCCGATTTGATGCTCGAGTTTTACTTTTTAAAATAAAAAATATCCGATTTTATCAAAAACCTCTGTGATTCAGGCAGGTTTTGAATTATATAACGCCAGTGTTTTGGATTATATATTGACAGTGCATTTAAGAACGCATCCTGGCTAAAAACCATATCCAAAGTTTAAATATTAACACTGACAATTCTTCTGTTTTACCCAATTTATGCACTTCAACTTATTGCTCCAACTTTGGACATCAAAAGCAAACAAGCAATTTTATTCAATTGTCCCACATTTTCGAAAATTTGTGAAAACTTAGATCATCCTATACATGTGAAAGCTTAGATCATCCTGTTTACATTACAGAATTATGAGAACAAGCAATTACACATTTAAGCACAGTTTAGATACCACAGGCGAGTGTGTGAATTTGGTTCTACATTTCAATTTTCAGTGGTATTATCTTATATGGCACATTATTAACCACCTAATTTATATATGTACATATACAGTAAGTTAATTTTTTTTCAGTAAATACAACTCATAAACATTACTTTGGATACAGTAATGTATTTACCCAAGTGTTAACATTTTATCTATAACTGAGTACTGTATATATCTAATTATGCTTGACTGAACTAAGTTAATTGTAATGAGAACTAGCTATTAGGGAAAGAAAGCAAAATACAGGTAGTCCTTATTTAGAAAATGCCTCAGATATTATTTGCAAATAGGATGGCAATAAACAATTTAGGCTGCATTTCGATCACAGAAGCCTTCATTCTGAAACTGATTTTAAGATCTGGTCAGTTTCAGGCAGCAACTGCCTGAAGAACTCTAAGAGTTCTAAATCAAAGTCCCAGTGCTGAGCTTGTTAACTTGCCTTTTGTATTTTTTAGGGAAGCACTGTGCTGGGGAAACACCAGCTCACAGATAGTTTGTTTAGGCAATTTCTCTATCCTAGGAGTGGGCGAAAAGGAGGGGAAGGGGTTACAGGTCAGGCATAGGACACTGTATGGAAACTTTTATCTGAATGAGATGGCAGCATCCAGTGATCTTTGCAGTGTGGTTTGCTTAGCAAATATGTTGATAATGAACATTTTGTTGGGATGGCAGTCACTAAACAAGGACTACTGTACACTTTTCCAAATTCTTAGCACTTTTGCGCTGTTCATGTGCCCTGGCAAAGTAGGGAGGGAAACTTGAGAATGGAGCAGTTGGCAGCGTTCTGAAATGGCTGAAGAAATTATCCATTTTTTTCTTCCACGGCTCTCCAATTCATTTATGAATTCAATCCTCCTTTTGTAAGCTTCTTCCTCAACACAAAATTTGAACCTATTCTCTTTTGGGCAGGTTGTCCTATTGATAGAATCGTAAATGCTTTTACATTGTTTATTTCCAAATTTTTATTGGATTGATGGAATTAAAAAACACAGAAGTCAATATGTGTATGTGATTTATTGTTAGAAAAAATGTATTTGTGTATTTACATTTGTTCCTGTTATGCAGAACATGAGAATATGTTTTCACCATTCAATACAAAATATATACATTTCTCATTTTTTTCATGTAAATAAAAACTTATTTCCAGTTATTTACTTTTCTTCAAAGTGTAAATGTACAGTATAAATTTAAATAACGTTTTCCATACAGACAAGATTTATTTTACTCAGACTTTACAGTACATTCATCTATCAAACAATATTGTGAATAATGAACAATATATAACTTACAAAGTTAGGAAAAACAATGTGGAAAAAATAAACCCTTAAAACTTATTTTGATAACACTCATACCTATTCAACAAAACATGATCTGATAGTATAACAATCATTATGCAACACTCTTAATCAGTATTTATAATACATCATCAGGTATCAAAACTCAGAAATACTCATAGGCCACTATAAAATACTAGTAATTTGGGGAAAATGCTACTTGACAAAATTGCCAGTGTTTTTTAAAAGTAACTTTATAAAGGTATATAACACCATTTATAGTATCTGTGATTAATTTCTGAATGCGTTATAAAAATTAAATATATCTATAAGAAATGCTGAAAATTCAAAAGGGGTAATACAATGCACCTGTAGTGACATTTGAAGCCTTTGAAATTAGGATAAAACTTGATATGGAGTTAAGACTGTGGACTGTCTTTCTGTTAATAGTACCACACATGCACATTTTGATTTTCACCAGCTATGCTAAATAAAATATTAACCCAAGTTTTATTTCCAATTTAACAATGACAAGTATCCTTCTTCCCTGTCACCACAAACCCCAGAAAGCAGAGTGTCTATAGTTCCTTCACAGATCTTGCTTTCAGGAGCTGCTATTTGCCACAGCTATTGTCATAACCACAATAGTGGTTATGAAACAATTCCTTCCACAATGTCTTCATTCAAGACATTCACTGTTTGTGGCACTATTAACACTTTGAAAATCTAGCTGAAACATTTCAAGAATATATTTAACTCCTAAATAATTTGGATATTTTTTTTTTTGCAGATTTGAAGCTTCACAATAGAATACAAATTTGAGCAAAGCATGATGTGGCAGTGAAGAAAACATTAAGTACTATTAATTTCATTCATATGTTCTACAACTTGTCCTAGAATTTCATCAACTACATCAACGTCGTAGTTCACTTGTTTCAAGTCAAGATCGGGCATTATTGTTGCCAGTAGCAGTCCCACATTAACTCGCAGTGATCGCAACTTCAGGCTACAGAAAAGACAACATTGAGTACATTAGTTAAAATGTTTTACATACAGCTTTTACATACAATTGTACATACAACTTCAACACTTAATATATTTCCTGAGCATTTTATTT